ATCTTCTTTGAACTCATGATCTTTCCCGCCAATCTAATCTTCTTCCCCTGTTGCCTATCTCAATGAGTGGCTCCACCAACCAGTCTCTTAGGCTGGCCAGAAACCCGATGAGTCATTCTTGACACCTTTTTCTCCCTAATTCATCATATCCATTGCCAATCTGTACATTTCCCTCCATTGTTACTAGCACCAATCAAGATCAAGCTAATGTCATCTTTGTGCCTAGACCACTGCTAAAGCCTCCTGTATCCATGTTGGTCCCTGCACCCTTCTAATTTGTTCTCTATACTACAGCCAGAGGGATACTCTGAAAATCCAAATCTGATCCTGTCACTCTCTTATTTAAAACATTTCAATGATGACTTACTTATCCTAGGATATATGTACATGTCAAAATTCTTAACAAACATGACCTGGCATAGTCTGCTGCCTATGTATCTTGGATCATACACCCTCCCTCTCCCACCCCCACCCCCCAATCACTTGCTCCAAACACATTAACATCTCCTGTAATGTGGCAAATTCATGTTTGGGTTTAAAGCTTTTAAATGTGGTTTTGGTTTGTAGGCAGAATTTAAAGTGTGATTTTAAACCACAGAATTACCCTTGATAAGCATATAGGAATATTCTAAGATCATTAAGAAAGTTGATAGTAGCTGATATGACTATTATTGCTATACTTATTGATTCCAACCAACCGCACAATCTCAGTTGGTACTCACGTGTTCAGCTAGATGGTATACATGTGGCTCAAGCACGCACGCACACACATTCACAGAAACTAATAGATAGTTACCACATGTTTCTGGGTACTCTACATCAGGTGGACAAATGCCAACAGCTTTATCTTTATCTGAAGGCGTTCTGCAGGAATATTCTGCTTTTCTTGGCCCCTTTACTTTCTGTCTGATTTCACAATGTTGCTTGTGCATTTCTGTCTTTATAGAGTACATGCTAACCACCAGGAATTCTAGACATAGAATCTGCACTTCCTCAGAGAGGGTCTGACCACGACTTTGTAAAACCCAGGTGGCTCCAAACCAGCCCCTAATCAGAAGTGCATGCTTTCTGCAGGCACTGACCCACCTTGGGTCACATATGTACATATACACACCCACCCAGAGTTACTGCTGTTCATTATGCTCAATGATTTTGATCAGTCTCTCTGTTTTTCATGCTTGAGAACTTGGATCCAACCCACTCTAGCCCCCTACAATACATCTGAAGATAGCCAGGGATCTGAAGGCCCTAATTTGGTCCAGGGGTTCGCACACTATAGCCTGATGCGTTTTTGTAAATCAAGTTTTGTTGGAACACAGTCATGTTCATTTATTTATGTATTGTCTGTGGCTTTTGTGCTACAGTGGCAGAGTTGAGATAGTTGTGTCAGAGACTGCAAAACCTAAAATATTTAGTATCCCCCACCCCTGGGCCACAGACCCGTTCTGGTCCATGGCCTATTAAGAATTGGGCTGCAGAGCAGTTGTTGAACAGCAGGCGAGTGAGCTAAGCTTCCTCTGTATTTGCAGCTGCTCCCCAGTGCTAGCATCACCACCTCAGTTCTACCTCAGATCATCAGGCATTAAATTATCATAGAAACACAGGTCCCTGGTGCCAAAAAGGTTGGGGACTGCTGACCCTTTCAGAACAAGTTTACAGATCTCTGATTTAGTCTCTGTTTTCCAATTGTTTTAGCAACAATTGATAATAGAGTTGCCAGATTTAGCAATTAAAAACACAGGACATTCAGATAAACAAATTTCAGATAAATGAGGAGTATTTTTTTTTCTTTTTTAGAATAAGTAGGTTTCAAACATCACATGCCAACCTTTTAGCAAAGACTTATATAAGACACCTATCGTACCCTCAATCTTGTTTTGAGACCCACCACATTTTGAGTTTTGAAAGAGAAAGAAATTGAAAGAAGGAGGGGTCCTTGGAATGATCTGCATTCCTTAGGAGAAGGAGCCTGGAAAAGCAGACAACGGTGAGCAGTCTGGGTTTGGGTCTTCTTCTTGGTGCAGCTGGCAGGCTTCAGTGACCAGTAGCCACTTTTCAAAATGAGTAAATGTTGTTGAAGGAGATGGGGTAGGGTAGGAACTGCTCAATTCTTCACAATGGAAAGTGATTCTTTAAACTAGCAGCTCCACAGTGCATTTAACCGATGGTCTACAAGTCTTCTCACTGTCTGGTTTAATGCCATGACTTTAATCCTGGGTAGATGTGGAAACTACCACTCCTCATTGATAGGCATGGAAGCCGACCTCCTAGTACATTCTGCTTCTCACTCTCCCTTTACATCATCTTGTGTCAAAGGGCTGGTTGAAGTCACTTTAGATGACAGACACCTCTGAAGTAACTTTGCACGTGTAGCTGATAGAGGCTGGATGGAGTAGCAGTTAAGTGCCCAGGCCCTGCCAGCAGACAACCTGGGGTTAGATCCCGGCATAGCTATTTACTGGCTAAATGATCTGGAGGAAATTACCTGATTCTTCTAAGCCTCAATTTCCTCACATGTAAAATGGAGGGCTGATGATAGTAGCTACCTCATGGAATTGTTGTGAGGATCAAACAAATTAGAACATGTAAGGTACTTAGAACTGCGCCTGGCACATAAACATTTAGAAAATGTTAACTGCTCTTCTCTGTTTTAACGAGCGGAAAAGAAACCTATGGCCAAATGTGAAGTGTCCTGGAAACTCGGCCTCCGGCAGTGTGAATTCTCCCCACTAGATGTCACAATTCAGCAGGCACTGTCTATCCCTTAGCTTGACTTGGGGTGGCTTGCTGAAGATTAATTTTTGCTTATTATCATTTTTGATTTGATTTGGTGATTTCAAGGGGATAAACTGACATGCTAGCTTTTGAAGTCTCTGGGGATCCAGAAATTCCAGGAGAATTGCTGACATGCAGGGCTAGAAGGAGCTGTTTGGAGTACTGTCTTTGTTCTTGGTTAACGTGACCTAATAATTTATTGTCCAAACCAAGATATTTTGAAAATGAAAGGGGGACTATTAATAACTATGCCAGGACAGGAGGAGTGAATGAGATGTACCTGACAACTTAGATATAGTCACCCTATCTGTAGGTAGCTTTTTCCTCAGCATTTTCATAATCTCCAGGACACAAGCTCTCTGACATTCCTCAGAAGCCTCCTATAGTAAACTGTGACCTCATGCTTTGGGAGTTCCCACCCTAAGGATATCTTGCTACTTGTCAGGTCATTTATTTCAGTTTTGTCCTCGGTGGACCTGGTGGGTATGTGTCTGCCTCACAGATTGCAAGTCACCTTGGCCTTCTTTATGTTGAATAATTCCATGTCCTGTGAGGCTTTTCTCCATGGTTTTTTTCCTACAGCTGCAACCCCTTTGGAGGCACCAAGTCCTCCATCCCTGGATGTGTTGAAGGAAGTCCCTGTGGTCACTTTCTGGGTTATTGCTGAAGGGATTCTTCTAAAGTTTCTTTCATCCCTAAGGCTCACAAGCCTATTATTTCAAATTGGCTTGTCTTCTTTTAAAGGGCAGGAAGAAGCTAATATTTGTTGAGCACTACCTCACATTAAATGTGCTTTTGCCTCCATCATCTTGGTCATCCCATCAACTCAGTGACATTGGTATTATTAAGGTGAAGAGGTCACAGCCCATAAAAGGCAGAGCCAGGATTCAATTCCAGGACTGTTTGGCTTCAAAGCCCTGTGGTTGCTACCACACCAGGCTGCCTCCCACTGTTTTTACAGTAAGTTTTTACAGTAAGACCACCAGCAGACATCACTAGCAAGTCCCTTTCTCTCTCTGGGTTTCAATTTCTTCTTTTGGAAGTTGGGCAGAGGTGGCAATATATGCTGAAGGGCTGTCAGAGTGACGGGCTGGGTGGGGGCTAGCCTTGGAAGACTTTACAGGGGGCATTGAGCAAGATTTTGAAGGAAGGGAATGGGGAGTCAGGAGATGGATCATTAGGTTAAATCTAATAGTCAAAAACAAGACTGTGTGTATGAGGGGAAGGAGCTGAAGAGATGAGTGGAAATTGCCAGTCTAATTAGGAGAGGGTTATGAGCCCCTGGTGAGTATAGCCAGGTTTAAAACTTTGTCTCAAATCATATTTAGCATGTGATCGAGCACGTGGGAAGCAGAATACATTTTGATGACAATAATGACAAGGAGGAAAGATGAGTGGCTGTCAGCTGGCACTTCAGAAAAGAGTCCAGGCCTTATGGCTTCAAGAATCGAGGCCTGCCGGGAAAAGCTTAAGGGAAGTGTTCTGGTAGAGATGTCTAATTTGAATTTTTCCAGCTTCGATTCAGTTCTTCTGAGCTCACGTGCCCTTTACCTACATTTGGAGGCCTTTAGCTCCTGGGGAGACAGATAGCAGCTCCTCCTGGCAGTATCTAATACACACCGGCGTCGTCAACATCTCAAATAGTCCGCCCCAAATACCAGGGAAGGATTTCTTAGGTGTGGGGGTGGGGGTGGTGAAGCCAGAGAGCCTGGCCTGAGGGGCAAAGCAGAGATTGTAGTCAGAATGGCCTTTGGGGTGGTGTCGGGCCCTGACCTCCTCCTCCACAACTTCTGGTCGGGGCTGCAGCCCAGGACCTTGGGGGCTGGGAGAAGGCATCGTACTACCGCCTTTCAAGAGCGGCCAATCCAAGAATCAGGGAGAGGAGGAAGGCTTCCGGAGCCTCGGAGGGCGGCCACCGCTGGCCCAGGACGCCCTTGCCCTGTACTGCTCTGGCTTTCCTCCTCGGGTTCCCTCAAGCTATGAAGCAAGGGACCCAGCCAGGGAGTGTAGGAGGCCTCCAGCCCCTTCCCACCCTGGGCCGGGCCTCCGGCTCTGGGCTCCTCCTGCAGCCCTGTCACCCCGCCCCTTGCGCTCGGGCCCCGGCC